TAGTCCCGGTTGGTGTTACCAACCGGGACTAAAGATCCCAGGGATCTTTACTCCCGGTTGATAATATCAACCGGGAATAAAGCGTACGCACCAGCCCACGCACAAGCGCATGCGTATATATATATATATATATATATATGCGGTTTGCCGCTTATTTTTTCTCATCACATCCTCCAATAACCATGTAATTGCTCCCTCCGTTTTATATTATAAATCGTTTTGGACCTTTTTTTATCTTAATCGAACTTTTTTATATTTAAATAAATCTATAGAAAAATTTAGCAACGACCAAATCAATTTAAATATAATATAAAATATATTTTAATAATATAATTGTTTTGTGTCGAAAATATTATATTTTTCTATAAACTAAGTCAAACTTTTTAAGTTTGACTGGAAAAAAAATCCATGATACCAGCGAAAATGACAGTACTCTGTCTCGGAGTCATCATGTGCCATATCTATTGATATATTTAAGACCATGCATATATGGCCGATTGATCCAGGTCAGGTCCAATTCGGTATGATACGATCGATCATCTCTTGATGATCTGATTAACTCAATCAGGGGCAATATCGATCGATCGAGCAAGTGGAACATGCAGATGCAGTGCACCAATAATATCGACAGCAACAGCACCTGACTATTTCTTGTCCTGTCGAGATCTGTAATCCCTCAATTCCTTCGTCTCTGCATCCGGTTACCCTGTCCGCTAGCTTCCGGCCGGCCGGACCTCTCTGTCTATGTGGGCCCTTGCACTTGGAAAAAGAAACCACACACCGTCACAAGTGTTCAGAAAAAGGAAAGGTCCAGCGCCATGGAGCGGCGAGGCTAGAAATTGGTGCTCAATTTAGCAAATTAACCTTTGCATCGCTTTCGCACGCTGTGTGTGTTCGTTTCAGTGTCCTGTCTCCTGTGCCCGGTCGTCGTCTAAGCTAGTACTCCCTCCATCCCATAATATAAGGAATTTTGAGTTTTTACTTACAACGTTTGACCATTCGTCTTGTTCAAAAAAAATTTTGAAATTATTATTTATTTTATTTGTGACTTACTTTATTATCTACAGTATTTTAAGCACAACTTTTCGTTTTTTATATTTGAAAAAAAAATTGAATAAGACGAGTGGTCAAACGTTGCAATCAAAAACTCAAAATCCCTTATACTCCCTCCGTTTCGAAATGTTTGACACCGTTAACTTTTTATCACATGTTTGACCGATCGTCTTATTAAAAAATTTAAGTAATTATTAATTCTTTTCCTATCATTTGATTCATTGTTAAATATATTTTTATGTAGGCATATAATTTTACATATTTCACAAAAGTTTTTGAATAAGACGAATGGTCAAACATATGCTAAAAAGTCAACGGTGTCAAATATTTTGAAACGGAGGGAGTATTATGGAACGGAGGGAGTAGCTAGTTAGCTACAAGAGCTTAATTTGTACTCCCTTCTTCCCTAAATGTTTGACACCGTTGACTTTTTAAACATATTTGACCGTTCGTTTTATTCAAAAACTTTTGTGATATGTGTAAAACTAGATGTATACATAAAAGTATATTTAACAATAAATCAAATGATAGAAAAGAATTAACAATTACTTAAATTTTTTAATAAGACGAACGGTCAAACATTTTTTAAAAAAATCAACGGCGTCAAACATTTTGAGATGAAGGTAGTACAAGCTAGCCACAGATCACGCGTCCTAATCACGATCTTGCTGGTTAATTTGACAGCACTAGCTAGGACATGCTGATCTACTTTATATTCAATCATGGAGGTTCATCGAATTGAATCGCAACAACAATTTTGTGGTGAAAAAGAAAACGTACTTTAAGTTTAGTTTATAGATGGATTAATTACATCGCTGTACGATGCCTATCTACGCTGGAAGTCAAAAGATCAGATTTACTCTCTAACATTATTTGATAATTGGCCATTGAATAATACACGTTGAGATTCATGCTGACCGTTAGAGACAAGCGCCGAGATTCGTACCATGCTGGGAAACAAAAATCATGTGTGTGTTCATATATCTACTGAGCTGCCGCGGGTTTATATAGTTGCTTATAACTTATGCTATTATAATTATATACTACGTACTAGTTATATTGTAATTATACTTGATATTTTTAGGATTTTTATGTCAATGTTAGTTAGGCTATCCCAAGAAAAAAAATGATAATATTAAGCATGACTTTATGTTCGCTCAATCGTGAATGCGTCAGGCATCATGGTGTTCGACACAAACTAATCACCGTCCAATTTTAGTGGTGTGATTTTTCAAAACAAAAGTTGCTTTCCCTTTTGATCCCAATCAAGCCGTTAACCTGATTGGCACTGCCTGCTCTTTTTTTTGCCCTTTCTGTTAGCTGGTAGGCCTCTGATATGGCCGCATGCGCAAAAAGGTTCAGATATACTCCCTCCATTTCAAAATGTTTGACACCGTTTCACTTTTTAGTACGTGTTTGACCATTTGTTTTATTGAAAAAATTCAAGTAATTATTTATTCTTTTCATATCATTTGATTCATTGTTAAATATACTTTCATGTACACATATAGTTTTACATATTTCATAAATTTTTTTTAATAAGACGAACGGTCAAATATGTGCTAAAAAGTCAATGGTGTCAAACATTTTGAAATGGAGGGAGTATTTTTCTTAGCATTTTTAAGGCTGTAAATTAAAACAAGCTCGGCCCATCCAATGTGTGATCATCAGAGTGAGCATGCATTTCTGTCCTCCTCGATTGGCCACCGTACCAGCAGCAGTCCATCATATACGTGCAACATATATATATATATATATATATATATATATATTCCCCTCCCTTCCCAAATATAAGTGCCATCTTTGCTAAAACATAAACCTTTTTAATTAAATTATTTAGTATAAATATTAAAGTTGAAAATAAAAAAAAGACTTTGACGACCCATCCCATTAAACGAGGATGGTTAAGACAAAAAGGTGATTGATTTACGAAATTTAAATGGAAACTGATTAGTGGAAAAAGTGGTATTCTGAACAATGCTAGACGTGAAAAACTGCTTATATTTTGATATAAATTTCAAATGCTAGACGTGGTACATTGTATTTTTTAAAAAAATAAAGGGAGTATTTCCAGGTTGCTTAGTACTCCATTCGTCCTATTTTAAGTGCAACCATGAGATTCTATGTCCAACTTTAAATAATTAGTATTTTTAATGTTATAGGATGATGAAACATAAAACGTACTTTACGCGTGACTTATGTTTTCAAATTTTTTTCAAAAAATTTAAATAAGACGGACAATCAAAATTAAGCACGAAAAATCATGGCTGCACTTAAAATGAGACGGAGAAAGTAGAGATTACAATGAGGAGAAAAGACTATGGTGTCGATCAGTCGTCCGTCATTGATTCCGACATTCCGTGTGTTTCATTCGTCGAGTTGTCGTACAGGGTCTAGCTAGCTGCATGTAGAATAAGGGCTCACTCGGCTTCTACATGGGAAAAAAAAGAAAGAGGCGTGAGCTAAGTGTTTAGGGGATGTTTAGATCAAGGGGTGTAAAGTTTTGGCGTGTGTCACATCGGCTATTATATAGGATATTCGGGAAGTAATAAAACTAATTGCATAATCCGACAGTAGACAACGAGACGAATTTATTAATTAAGCCTAATTAATCCATCATTAGCAAATATTTTCTGTAGCACCACATTATCAAATCATGGAGCAATTAGGCTTAAAAGATTCGTCTCGCAAAGGAGTATTTAATATTTTATGCAGATATTCAAACGTTCGATGTGACATGGTGTAAAATTTTTATGTGGGAACTAAACATGGCTTTAGTCTGATACGAAATTGGTGTATATAGGAACTCAATCCACCAGTCCATAGGATTTGATGTTCCAAATGCCAATGGTATGTATAGAATTACAATCCTCTATTTTTCCTAGGGTGCAAATTAAAGGAGGCCTAAACGTACGTACGCAAGCACGGAGGGTGGATATAGTGATGTAGACCTGTAACGACGAGTGCAACAGATACGCATGGTTCGCACGCACGTACGCAGCCGATGATGAATTCAGGGAGGGAGAGACAGGAGAAGCACATACGCACGCATGAACATATCGGCCGGTAACCAAGACGTCGACATACACAGAGCACGTGCATTACAGATAGGCATTACCGTCCTAAAATATAACAACTTTTAATTAGACGAGACATATAATCTATTTTAGCAGGATATGTTCTGTCCATCAAAAAGTTGCTATATGAGCACTGCAGTCTGCAAAACTAAAATGGAGCTGAATTTGTTTGAAAACTACACCCTCTACTATATTTTCTTTAGCTCATTTTATTTATCCTAAATAAGTTTTTTAAGTAACCAATGTATTTAAGTTTATAAAAGTGTAAAATAATTATATTAGGAGTAAATAAAGTAAGAAATAATTATAGTGAGATTTGATAAAGTAGAGATATTTTTTTTTGTGTTGTATTGATATCTGTAAGATAATGAAAAATAAACTTATTTGAAACGGAGAGAGATGGATAAAGTGGTGGGGAGGTGAAAGAAATATAGTGGGAAAAATAAGAAAGATTCGCGGAGTGAAAGCAAAGCGAGGCAAGGCAAGAGGGCGGCGACAAGACAAGCAGGGGAATTGAAGAGGAGGGAAGGGGAGGGACAGGCGGCGGACCGGCGGTGAAAGGCGAAAGCGAAGGTGGTGGGATTCTGTCCTCCCCAAAGGGGGAAGAATATCATCATCCATCGCAAAAAAGCCACTTTCCCACAAAAATAAAAAAGCCCACTCACACTCACGTCCATCGTCGTCCCTACCCTAGCTATGACATCTCTCATCTCATCCCATCTCATCTCTCTCATCCCCAGGCCCCCACACTATCCATCATCTACTCGATCGTGTACTCGTAACAGCATTGTATTGTATGCCAGGTTCTCCTAAATTCGATCCATCGCTTTCTACTCTACGCTCCTACCATAGTGCTAGTAGGCAATAAAATGGCAGTTTCATGCAATATCATACTCCATGATCATCATTCAGGCAGGCCTAGCTAGCTCCTGATCATCTAGCAGTACACGTTGCATGTTCCATCGCCATCGATCTCAACTTGTCAACACTCACACAAACACGCACATGTACACACAAAACAAACCCACCTCACCAGTGCTTGTAGCTATATATAGCTTGTTGATCCTGATATTGCTAGCCCACTTAATCTAATTCAGCCCCTGTCATTTTCCAACCACGCACGCACGCAGCTTCAGCCACTGACGCCCCAACTTGCAGCGCGTAGCGTATGATCAGCAGCATATAGCTAGGCCAATTCGGTCCGTACGATCAACGATCGATCGATGCATGTGTCCGCGCCATGCGTCGCCGTGTACCCAAAACCAAAAGCGTACGTGCACGATCGTAAACGACGTCGTCCTACACGACGTCGACGGCGACATCGTGACCATCGGGCGGCGGCAGCGGCGCGATGAGGCGCTTGCACTCGTCGTCGTCGCCTTCGGCGGCGGCGGCGATCATCTCGAGGCCGGTGAGCTTCTTGGCGCGGAGGGCCTCGAGGTGCCAGTCGGTGCGCCACACGACGGCGAGGAGGACCAGCGCGACGCAGGCGGCCTGCGCGGAGAGGAGGCCGTACCAGAGGCCGCCGAAGCCGACGCGGGCGCCGAACGCCAGGGTGACGGCGACGGGGGTGCCGACGAGGTAGAAGGAGAGCAGGTTGATGCGCGCGCCGACGGCCGGCCTCGCCGTGCCGCGCAGCACGCCGCAGCCCGTGGTCTGCGGGCAGTTGCCCAGCTCGCACAGCCCCAGGATGGGCATCGCCGCCGCCGCCAGCCTCACCACCGCCGCCTCCCGCGTGAACAGCTCCACCCACTCCCGGCTGAACGCCGCCGTCCACGCCACGTGCACCACCCCGATCACCACCGCGCACCCCAGCGCCACCATCGCCGCCATCCTCGCCCTCCTCGGCTTCCCTCCCCCCAGTTCATTCCCCACCTGCATCATCACCAATCAAACAAAATTGAAAGTTTAATTGAAATTAGAACGATAAAAGTTGAAAGTTTATGCGTGTAGGAAAGTTTCGATGTGATAAAAAAGTTGAAAGTTTGAAGAAAAAGTTGGGAAGTAAACCAGATCAACATTGCAACTCCTGATTCAATTCTGCACTGTACAACGCATGACAAATTGACAATTCACAAACAGTGGATGAACAGCGACATCGCGGTGTGCAAATTCTGTCTTTTCTCCGAACACCTACAGTGCAGCTGTGAGCTTCACTGGCACCCAGAGGAAGCACTGTTCGTGTGCACTGTGCTGACATGCACGAGCAATGACAAGACCAACCACCAATGGCCAGAGGAAGAAACAAACCAAAAAAAAAAACCCACAAGCTTTGTCCCGTTTCGCATGCAGTAAATAGTGCTACTAAAATCGATTCTCTGATAGAAATGGTATCCGGCAACCAGCCTTTAAAAGAAGGGGGTGATTCTGTACAAAATCAGCAAAAATTCAGAATTTTGTCGCTTCTCTCGCTTGCTTTGCCCGTTGATTGATGTGTGTAGGGAAGATGATGAACATGTTCAAGATTTGGTTATATATCCATGCTATAAAAAAAAAGAGAGATGAATCTGTTGCTACAATGTTGGTATCTGTTACTACTATACATCGAAAATTCAGTCTTAGGAGTATCTAGCTCATCAACACACACTTAGCCACATGATTTCGCGATTGACGAGTGTGTGGCAGGAAGCAATTAGGATAAACTTGTTGTGCTAAGGTTGCACTTATCTTCTTGTGCCAAGATTGGGACACAAATCTGTTCACGAAGATATATATATCTATCTTGATAGATTCAGTCGTTTCGCTTGTTTGTATCTGAACTTGAGCTATTCTATAAGTTCAGATAACAGTGACACCAGCAAACAAGAAGGAGGATTAAAAACATCTAGCTCGGCGCAAATTATGCTATATGCCTAGTACTATATGATGATGTTGCCCAGCACTAGCTCATAACAAACTCGCTCACTGAATTTTCTCGAAAGTATAACAACCCTACCCGTTGACGAATTAACTCCGGCGATGTGAACTCAAAGCAAAATCTCAGCCTGAGCTGTTGACATTCGGATTGGCACGAATCAAAATAAAAGTGGCAATGTGCCAAATATTCGTGTGTAAAGATGTTGGCAAGCTGACCATGGTTGTGGCTTTTTAGAGCAAGGTTAGTATAGCCAACTACTAACTCCAATTCACCTATAGCCATCTAATAGTTAATTCATACAATGGTTGCTTACTATATTATTAGTATATGGTTTCACTGTTATACACACATTGTCTTTTAGAGTTCGTGCTGCAGCTGACCTAATAATCTGCTATTGTAGCTAGAGGATTTTAGTTTCGTTTTCACGAATCTTGATGCAATACCTTTATTTTTTTCCCGTTGGGATGCAGTGACTGATATGAGTGATTAGTGCAAATTAAGTTGGTGAGTGATGAGAGGCGTACCCGAGTAGAGACACAGGCGGCGAGCGCCATGGGCACGGTGTACATGAGGCTCGTGGTCTGGATGAGCACGCCGGCGGCGCCGACCGCGGCGGCGGGGTCCGGCAGGTACCCGGCGAGCACGGTGACCACCTCGTACCACCACCACTCGAGGCAGACGCCGACGCAGCTGGGCACGGCGAGGCGGACGAGGCCGGCGAGGCCGCTCGCCACGGCGGCGGGGCGCGCCCAGCCCTTCCACGTGGCGTCGCAGGCGCGCGACCAGCGGATGTAGGCGAGGAGGAAGAGGACCATGTTGGTGTTGGTGAGCGCCTGCGCGGCCGCGACGCCGCGCACGCCGAAGCCGAGGCCGAACACGAGGAGCACGTTGAGCGGGACGTGGAGCGCGACGGCGATGGCGGAGCAGGCGGCCATGGGCTTGGTGATCCCCTGCGAGCGGAGGTAGACGCGCAGCGGCTGGAGCACGGCGCTGGCGGCGAGGTCCGGGAGCGCGTAGGCGGCGTACGCGGCGGCGGAGGCGGAGATGGTGGGGTCCTGGCCGAGCGCGACGAGGATGGGGCCGACGTGAAGCCAGAGCAGCGCGATGGGCAGCGCGGCGAGGGTGAGCAGCAGGACGGCGCGCTGGAGCGAGAGCGTGAGGAGGTCGTAGTTCTTGGAGCCGAACGCCTGGGCGCAGAGCGGCTCGAGGCCGGAGGCGAGGCCGAAGAGGACGCTGTGGCCGGTGATGTTGGTGAGGCCGATGGCGAGCGCGCCGCCGGCGAGGTCGAGCGGGCCGAGGCGGCCGAGGCAGAGCACGGACACCATCGCGCGCAGGTAGACGACGCAGTTGAGCGCCGTGATCGGCGCCGCCATCCCCCACAGCTCACGCAGCTCCGACGCCACCGACGGCTGGTCGTCCCCGTCGTCATCCACCGCGCCGTCGCCCTTGCCGCCCTCCCCTTGCTGCTGCTGCGCCTTCCCCTGCAGCGGGATGGCCATGGCAAATCTTGGATGTCTTTGATTCTACTTTGTAGCTTTGCTGTCTCCGAGCTATGCTGCCTCCCTCCAGGCTTGCACCCTCCCCACTCCATCCACTATATATGGCTTGACCCCTCTCATTCCATTGCTGCGTGCCTGCGTCTGCTCCTCTCCTCACTGTTCCTCACTCCTTTTTTTTTTTTCTGTTGTTGTATTTTATTCTCTTTATTTTTCTTAAAAAAATAAAAGGACAGAAAATCCCTCCAAATACGAATGGCCGTGCATAACGCATAACGCGTAACTTGCCATTAGCACATTAAGGCTGTGTGCTTAGATCAAGGCGTAAAAAGTTTTAACTTGTCATATTAGATATATGGACACATATTTAAAGTATTAAACGTAGATTAATAACAAAAATAAATTATAGATTCCGCTTATAAACTACGAGACGAATTTACTAAACCTAATTAATCTGTTATTTACAAATATTTAATGTATTACCACTTTGTTGTCCCGCTCTCGACGCTTGGGATTCACTCTAAATTCTCGTGGATTTATTATACGCTTCTTCCAAACACGAGGAGATTATGGCCTTTTTCAGTGTCGCAACAAGTCAATGGAACACTCCCTCCGGTCTCATTTTAATTAACGTTTTAGACAATGACACGGTCTACAAAATATATATTTGACCTTATTTTTCTATTATAATATATACAATAAATATATGTATGTTTACTTTTATTATAGTGATTTGAAATACAAATCTATATATGTTGTTATAGTTCCTTTAAACTAAATATTTTTAAAGTTTTTGATGGTCAAAATTATAAAAGTTTGATCTTAATCTTGTCTAAAACGTCAATTAATATGGTACCGGAGGGTCAAGATTCTTCTTTAATTCTTCGGTCTACAAAAATTTTACATCCCTTCACATCAAACGTTTAAACATCTGCATGAAGTATTAAATATAGGCTAAAAAAAACTAATTATACAGATTGTGACTAATTTGCGAGACAAATCTTTTGAGCCTATTTGCTCCATGATTTGACAATATGGTGCTACATTAAACATTTGCTAATGACAGATTAATTAGACTTAATAAATTCATCTCGCGGTTTACTGATGGATTTTGTAATTAGTTTTTTTTATTAGTGCCTGAACACCTCATGCAACACCCTATATAATATCTAATGTGACATGCCAAACTTTATACCCCTGGATCTAAACACTCCCTTCATCCAGAGATAGATTAAGTTCATTCTAGATCTCTTAAATTTGACATCAAATCTGAAATTCATTCTTGAACTGAAATACCATATATAACACGTTCTTCAACTTCTAAAACCGATACAAACATGGTCCCACCGTCTTTTACGATTGCAAGTGCCACGTTAACACCACGTGAGACGAGGACCTAATTAAACCAGCCACGTAACCGAAAACCGCCATCAAAACCATCAATTACCCCGGTTTAGGAGTTGAAGAACGCTTTATATATGGTATTTCGATTCTACTAGTCAAATAAAAGGACCTAAAGTGAACTTATTCCCCGAGAGGTTACTAATTACGGCCTGCTTGCATTTGGAAGGCCAGATCGAGGCCTAAAATTGGTACGTATAAGTTACAAGGCCGAAAAGTTTTCACATTGGGCTGCTTGGTGGGTTGGTTGGGCCCAATCCACGACGAAAAGAAAAGTCCAAGTCCGGGCCCAGTGCGCTTGCCTGCTTTCTGCGGACGTGTCGCGGAGTCGGCCACAAACTCGCAAACCAAACCCGGCGACGGCACACAGGTTTTAGCACCGGACGGGAGCTCTCCGCCGTCGCCGACGACGCCGCCGCCGCCGCCGCCGCCGCCATCTCCGGCATGCTCTCCAGAGGAAGGTGCGCCGCGCGATCTCTCCGATTGAGCCTTACTGCCTCCTCCTCCCCCCTCCCCTGCTCGTTGCGCTTGAATTTGGATTATTCCTTACTCATTCCGTGGGTTTTCCCTCTCCCCCCTTCCAAACCAGATGTTTCCCGGCGGCGAGTCGGATCCGGCCGCTGGTCAGGGCCTTCTGCGACGTGCCGCCTTCGCTCCAGGATGCGGCCGCCGGGGTGCCCAGCTCGCAGGTACTTTTACCACTGGAGCGTGCCGATTTTGTTGTTTAGGGTGTTGTGAACTGCTCTGTGTGGAACTGAACTGAGGAGTTGATGTGGAACAAGCGTATACTGGTGTTGACTCTGGCTGTAAACTTGTAGGATCACACAGAGAAGGTTGATGATGTGAAAGCTAGACCCGACGAGCTCGACATTGCTATCGTTGGTGGAGGCATGGTGGGATTGGCTGTTGCTTGTGCATTGTGTAGGTATTTTCTGTTCATGTTGTGCTTCCTTGTTTTTTGTTGGCTCTGCTTACTGTCAGTCGTTTTCGGCTGTAAAGAAGACTTCTCCCTTATTGTTGTAGGCTATGATATTGTCTAGAAAAAAGTTTTTAACCCAGATGAAAATAGTTCTCAACGATCCTCACCGACCTATTAGTGCAATTTGAAGTGCTATTAATGATTCTTTTTTTTCATTGGTATTGGTATGAGTAGCTTTTCATGCTATAGTTGAATCGCACCTTAGACATGTGAAAATGACGATTGGATGTTTCAAATCAGAAACACCTGTCATTTAAGGATCAAGTTTTTCACATGCTTATTTATCCACATGCAGCCAATATGCCATTGACTAAACATCTGAGGGTTGGCATCATTGATAGCAATCCTGCATTGAAGTCAAGAAATTATCTGAAGAAAGATGGTGTACCTGATTCAAGGGTCAGTACTATTACTCCCGCGACCATATCCTTCTTCAGAGGTACAGTTTTTAATCGAACATGCGTTGATATTATCTGTACGTGTTCAGAATTTTTCAGGCGCTTGTACTTTGAATTAAGTTTTTCTTAACATGGTTGGGTACTTTGTTGATGACGTTTTATGTTGGTTTTGAGCAGATATATAAACATAATGCTATAATCGTTTTTGTATTACTTCTATGTCTCCATCATTTTGTAAAGTTATCTAGTTACATCATTAGTAGTTTATTTTATTATCTTCCTTTTTACTCTTGTGGATATCTGCTTCATTATATAAATTAGTTGATAGCCTACCGCCTACCTGGGATGATCACTATGCAATATTCGGCTGAACTTTCTTTCTTTTGGAGTACGTACTACAGTACCGTATAGTGATAAGCTGAAGCGACTTGTGAACTCCATTGATCTATATGCTCACCATTTCCGTTGCAGTACAGTTGCATCATATTATATATCCTTTCTCATGTGTGATCTTCACAATTTTTTGCTAAGGTTTCAGCCCTATTTTTGCACATTAAGGCTGGGAAATTGCATGCTTGCACAGTACAGCTTGAGAATTGCTGTATCTGTATTTCTCCCTTCAAACGTGCAAATAAGCTACTTTTACCTACTAGTGATGGTAGCGTACCATTCAACAATTTCTTCATACTTGTACCATGTTATATTGCAGATATTGGTGCATGGGATCATGTTCAACAGCAAAGACACGCTTTCTTTGGTAAAATGCAGGTGATATACCTTGCTTGTCCTGATGAAATGATTTGTTCTGTATGTATAGTGAATATCCTTTTATTTTCAATTTCACCTTTACTCTATTTTTGTCCAACACATTTAACTCTATTTCCTCTTTGAGCCCACTTATTTCTTTAAAGTTCAAAATTCTGAACATGTTGATTCTTATTGGACTAGGCGGCTTTGTTCTTGCCTTTATATCAATATCAATGAAAAACTAAGTCAGCCTCTGAATTCATCTACTGCAGGTTCCACATCAGGCTAGCAATAAAAGATCATTGTACTTAGAATTTTAAAATACTCGTAATCAGTTCTCAATTGGAACATAGAATAGTTGTATACCTATATTATGCTTCTGTTTGCATACCCATATTTTTAGTAGTCTGGACCCATACATGCAAGTATTAGAACTTGGATCCTTTACCTTTTGTATTTTCTTCTTTGATGTTGAACTTGCACAAAATAAGAGCAGTTTCTTCCTCCAGATAGTGGGCGCTTCAGTTTAAGCACTAACTGCAATTCTGGATGTGCTCATGTGCTATTTGCTAACAGGTATGGGATTACACTGGACTGGGTTACACAAGGTATAGTGCAAGGGATGTGGGAAAAGAATATCTCGGGTATGCTCTATGAAAGCAGCTGTGATTTATGACTAATTTCTGTCACCAACTCATTACTAACTTCTTATTTATTAATTCAATGTTTAGATGCGTGGTGGAGAACAAGGTGCTTTGCAACTCACTGTTGTTACGATTACAGGTTTGTCTTCAATTGACATATTTGATTTTTTTTAGTATCTGCATGGAGCGTGATGTTTGAACTCGTCTAATACCACTTTAATCTGTAAATGGAATTGTATGCTTCCTTGCATATATTTGGAATAGAACATTCTTACCATCTATGCATTCAAGACAGCTAAATTTATGAGGCCTTTATAAACACACACACACACACACACACACCATTTTATGGTTCCTTTCCTCTTGGTTAACCAATATAGTTTATTAGCAGTAAAGGTTTTGTGATAATAATAGAGTAAATTGCATTAGCGGTACATGAACTTGTCAGGTGGGTGCACTTTAGTGTATGAACTTATAAAATGCTCGTTTTGGTGCATGAACTTGTTTGATACATGCAAACTAAGGCTAAAATGACACGACAAGACCGATTTTTCTATGCTGAACATTATAAATTATAAATTAGTAGATGATGTGCGTGCACATAGTAGAAATGTTATATTTGTAAACTTACTTTCCACTTTATCTTTCTTTGTTTCTATCTCTTACATCATTACTCGGTTTTTTATTTTATGCAATCGTTATGCCTATATGTTTATCCTTCTTAGACACATGTTTACATAGAGTTTAAATCAACAAGATTAACCTTGATGTGCGATTTTGACCTTGTTCGCACGCACCAAACAAGTTTGTGCACCAAAACAAGCGTTTTACAAGTTCATGTACTAGATTGCACCCATCTGACAAGTTCGTGTACCTCTGATACAATTTACTCATAATAATACTCCCACCCATGTGTAGGACAGAGTAAACCTACATAGAAGTTGATGGTCGGGTTATTTGCAGCCAGATAATCTTACCTTTATTTTTAGTAAGGCTAATGCTTAAAGATTTTTGCTTGATCAGGAGGAAAATGGAGACATTGAAAAGATGATCTACCCTACTAGACTGATTTCTCTTGCTTTGCCATCAAAGAGCAGACAAGCACCAACAAGGGAAGCAATATCCAGTGGTTACCCTCCAGAAGAATTAAATCGCAGCAATTTAGTTAAACTTGAGCTAAGTGATGGACAAACTTTATATTCAAAACTAGTGGTAATTGCCTACCATCTTCTTTTGCATTTGTTCAAACTTCTGTCTTTGTCCATTGCCTTCAGTTGCCTACTTAAATGTATGGTTGCAGGTGGGAGCTGACGGTTCCAAGTCCAATGTAAGGCAAACAGCAGGCATAAAAACAACAGGGTGGAATTATCCTCAAAGTGCAATTATTTGTACAGTGGAGCATATTACCGAAAACGATTGTGCATGGCAGAGGTTTCTCCCTTCTGGGCCAATTGCTCTACTTCCAATAGGTGACAACTACAGCAATATTGTGTGGACAATGAGCCCAGAGGAGTCATTGCGCCATAAGTCAATGAGTCCTGAAGATTTTGTGAAGTCTGTGAACAATGCATTGGATTTTGGTTACGGTCCACATCCACACTCTGGTAGTCTTGACTATTACATGGAAAAGTTATTTTCTGACATTGGAAGTACTGCTGCATCTACAAAGGAATGCTTTGAAGTACCTCCAAAAGCAATCGGGGTAGTCTGTGAGAGAATGGCATTTCCATTGTCGCTGAAGCATTCACATGATTATATTTCAAAAAGGTTAGCACTAGTCGGTGATGCAGCTCATACAGTCCATCCCTTAGCTGGCCAAGGTGTCAACTTAGGTTTTGGAGATGCAGCTGCTTTAGCAAAAGTTATCGCTGAAGGAGTTTCTGTGGGTGCTGATTTTGGGGATGTAAGTACCTCTTGCTGCAATCTTTTGGTTAACATTTTATTCAAATACTAACACAACCTGGATTCTATTAGCAAATATATCATCATCTTGAAAGTTGAAACTTAAGTACTTGACTAGATACAAGTGAAAGAACCGATCATGCTGCATCTGAAATATTGTAATTCATTTCCCCTTTAGTGTAGTGTAATTCTTGTTGGAGTGCACTATAAACATCATATTTATCATCACATCAAACTAACATGATAAATGATTTTATTTGACAGATTTCCTTGCTCAAAAGGTATGAGAATAATCGCAAAGCAGCCAATGTTGCAATGGCAGCGCTGCTAGATGGTTTCCAGAAGATGTACTCTGTTGATTTTGGACCCCTCAATGTGCTTAGGGCTGCAGCGTTTCACGGTGCCCAGTACATATCACCACTGAAGAAGAACATAATCTCGTATGCAATGGGCGACGCGAAATGGCCGCTGTTTTCATAGACAGTAGATCCGGAAACTTTAAATTTGTTAGTTGTTACTGCAGTGTCGATGTGTTATTCTAAATTAGTATAGTGTACTTTGTCTCCAGTGTTCTCATCCAGAGTAGTAATGCATCACAGGCACACGTTGCAGAGAAGAAATGTAGCTAGAAAGAAATAAATTGGATCTCCTGGTGATCTAGGATTACCTTGAATGTACTCCTCTTGCACTCCAGTAACTCGCTTCTGTTTTGACCCACAAAGTTCAGATCTGTGCAAGGCAAGATGATATTGAAGTGTTGACTGTTGACGAAGATCAGTCAATCTGTGCAGGTTGCAGTCTAGCACCTCCTTTGCACGTAGATATTCTTTTTCTCGATTTCTACGGGTACTATATCAATCAACTCGTGTGAAAGTTCTATAAATATTTGGGTGGGGTTACTGAATTTTAAAGAACGATTGTTCAGCTGTTTTTTTTTTGTGTGGGTTTCTAGATTTTAGATTTTCGTTTGTATGCTTTATTAAGTTTGTTTCGTGTAAATTTTTTTTTCTTAGAATATCTTTCTAAATCATTTTTTTTACTTTGTGTTAGGTAATCCATTTGTCTGTACCCTCATATAGCTATCATGGAAATCATATAATCTATCAATTCGAGCGAAATGGGGCTATAGGTAATTATGCTTAGAAGTCCGGTTCATCGAACTTTCCTAGGCATAATTGCAAAACCAGTCTGAGCCATGTGGGTCCTAGCGGCTAATGTTTCCGATGATAACATCACACCACCATTTTCCGATGATAACATCACACCACCATTTTACCTGCTGTTAAAATGACAAAAAAAATGAAAAAAAAAACAGAAAATAAGCAAGAACTTTTACCTGCTGTTAAAATGACAAAAACTAAAAAAACACAGAAAAAAAACCAGAATTTTACCTGCTGTTAAAATGACAAAAAAATGAAAAAGAAAAGAAAAACACAGAAATAAAACCAGAGTATAAACTCCTACTAGCTTCCTTGGTGGCGGGGGTGTCAAATCGGATCGTGGCCGTGGCTGAAGAAAGCAACTCAACCAGCTGCCCTCCCAAATTTCTCTCCTCTTGCCGACGACTCGGAAAAAAACCGCGGACACCGCGTCCGCTCGACGGAGGGAAGGGGATGAGCTCCTCGTCGGCGTCGGCTGTGCCGCCGGAGGACGACGTCTGCTCGGTCTGCCACGACCGCTTCCGGATCCCCTGCCAGGCCAACTGCTCCCATTGGTTCTGCGGTTCGTCTCCCAATCTTCCCTCGCCCTTACCCCCCCCCCCAACCCCCCCGCGCGCTTCCTGGAACCTCGATCCACCTGTTTCCACCGATTAGGTTGGGAGATTATGCGAAACTGTAGGTTTTCATTTGATTCCGGTCGTTTTTTTTTGGCTTCCGCTGGATATAGAAATGGTTTGTATTGGCTAGAATTGACAAGGATGTTGTAGATTACGCGGTTTTTGAGTTGGCTGCATGATGAGAAGGCTCTAATTTGCCGGTTTAGGATAATTTGTGTATGTGTGTGTCGATGCCAAATGAGGGTTTATGGTGGTTTTTTGGTAGGTTGGTTGAAATTTTGGAACTCATGTAGCTGGAAGACTGGGAGTAGTGTGTAATACATTCTACATGAACTGATGGAAAACCAGGTCAGATCTAAGATTGTGCCATACACTTGAATACCAATGAACACCACAATTGCTCATCGAGCAACTATGTGGAAAAGTCAACTTCATCCCTAAAGCCAATCAAACACCATCTCAGTGCTTGTGCGCATTCATATTTATAGGACTGAATTAGGTTTATACATTAGGATTATTTGGGATAACCAAATGGCTCTTACCCCCTTAGTTCAATGGTATTACTTGTCATGTTATGAAATGGTAGCATTAATTTTATTCACTCCAAAAGAGCAATATCTTCTATGATGCATGAATCAGGCTCAACACTATGAAATCAGTATGATATGATATATTATACTACCACTTTGTCTTTTACAACAGAGCTACCCACTGCATCAGTTATTCTTTTTATTTCAGTTTGGCCATAAGACCTGGTAGCGCATATGCTTTTTGAGCATGTATTTCCTACCCAACTATACTTCCTTCACTACTTCTCTAGTATTACTGAAAGTATTAGTAGTAACTATGCTAATTTTGTTGCAGGAGAGTGCATTATCCGTGTTTGGAATCATGGACCTTCTGTACAGCCTTGCAAGTGTCCCATTTGCCGTCGCCTTATTAATCTTCTGGTACCAGCAAATGTATCAATAGATAATGATGATGATCCGCAAATTCAGCATGTTCTAGGAGAGGTTCAGCATTACAACCGCATATTTGGTGGAACACCCCGCAACCTGACTCAGGTTTATACATTGTTCACGAAAGCTTACTTATTTTGTCTTCAGATTTGGAAATTTGAATGTACATAGGACTAATCAACATCAATAAATGTTGTATTTGCAAACACACACACACACACACATCAATAAATGTTCTCCAAGGGGATATGTTTCATTTTCTCATAATTAGCTCATTGTTCCTTGCTTGCATGCTCCCCAAATTCTTTTATAGGATTCATAGTGTAGTTTTGATTCCTGCACAGGTTATGATTGAGAAATCATCTGTCTTCTAACTCCTACAATGCATGCACATTTCAGATACTGGCATGCAAATGGGCCTCTGCACCGTTGAGTTCTAAAAAATGGTAGCATGCATTTAATATTGTTGCTAGATAATCTCTATTAGGTCAGGTTTCATAACACCTAGCATTTTATGCCTTTCTGTTGGTTCAGTATCTTTAGCTTTCTATTTCTTTGTGATTGTGTATCCCTATACAGAGTAACATCCATTTTTACATAATCAAACCAACGCTAATAGTAGCTTCTACTCTTGCTCTGAAAGGCAGTACTTCAACATTAATCAGGGTAAAATGGAAACATGAACACGGTTACTCTGTTATGTTGGAAAGATTATAGATAATAGTGTGACATACCCTTATTCATCATTACTCTATTTGTACATATTGACTAGAGTTGTCATAGTTGTTGTACGAGGAATGTGACTAAGGTGTAACATGTTGTCATATTTAACTATCTTAGATATAACAAATATGAGCATATCTAGTTGACTAACTGCAGTAGCTTTGGTAGCTAATTACTTGATGTTTTCACGATCTTTTTTCAGAGGTTGCAAGACCTACCCTTTTTCATCAGAAGACTGTTCAGGGAACTACTGGATCCCCAGAGGACCCTCCCACTTGTCTTCAGGGCGAGGATGGTCATGATGGTAAGGTTTTATGCCATTAAAGTGCCTTTTGTTATCTGTAAAGCTACTATATGTTTGTGGAAGTAAACATTGTTTCTCACTGATTAAAATTTGCAGGTAGCCCTGAGTGCAATTTATGTCCTGAGCCCCATCGACATTCTTCCTGAAAGTAAGTTCGATATTCTTCTCCGCGATCTGAATTCCAGTACCACTGGGCATACGATTGTTAAATGTTAATGTTTTGAATATATTATAGACGTGCTGGGGCTGTTTGGATTCTTCGATGACTTCCTCGTGCTGCTGATCGTGTTCCTCCACCTTGCTGCTGTCTACCGTTCTCTGCTGCTCTACCGCCACGGAGGCCACTGAATTGCTGCTGCACATTACGTGATGGCAGATGGAGTACTTGCGTCCCTGGCTGACGTTCTGAGACAAGAGATATTTCATTTGTGCTGGAAGAGATTGCTAGCTAAAGTCGATGATGATTGATGGTACGAATGATGGCGGCAGTAGTTTCTCTCCCCCTGTGTATTCTATTTCGCTATGCTATGCCTTGTTTGGTGATATTCACATGGTGGATTTAATGAGACCGATTGCTTTTTCTTTAGTTTGATATATATACTCACACGAGATTAGCAAATAGCAACAACAGTGAGCACTTGTTCATCCTTGATGAGCCCCAATGGCATTGCTGCTCCAACAACTATGGATGGGCCTATGGCCTCTGCCAGAGAAAGTTTTCTTTTCTTTTCTCTTTATTTTTTCTTCCTTTTCTGAGGAGTGGAAAGAAACATACACTACTCCCTCCGTCCCAAAAAAACTCAATTTTTAGGTTTTTGTGTCTAGCGTTTGACCGTCCGTCTTATATGAAATTTTTTTGTGATTAGTATTTTCATTACTGTTAGATGATAAACCATAAATAATATTTTGTGCATGACTTATCTCTTTAAATTTTTTCATAATTTTTTAAAATAAGACGGACGTTAGACACGAAAACTCAGAAATTAAGTTTCCAAACGGCAAATACACTTTTTTCTTTTATTTTCCTTTTTTTCAAATACACGTATTTAGAAAATTCTCCTCATCAAATAATAGTGTATACATTCTAAAATCTGTCGAAATTCTATAGCTCGTCACATTCCGGGGGAAAAAAAATTGTTCGTAGTCGTGGCGTGGCTCTTGCTGATGCCAAGTACTCCAGCTCCCCAGTAGTGTGAAGGGCTAGGCTACGGCTCGCCTCCCATCTTGTCTCTCTCTCTCTCCCCTCTCCCACCGGCAGAGACGCGCTCCTGTGGCGGGGAGGGAGCAGATTCATTCAGCCACACAGACACAACTCGTCTTCTCCTCGAGGAGCTAGCAACCGGCTAGCGGAGCAAGAGCAAAGCCTTCAGGAATCAGGAGGCGGCCAGATTCGCGCGCGGTTCCTCCCTCCTGTGCGTGCGTGCGTGCTCTCTCTCTCTCTCTCTCTCTCGTCCTCGAATTTATCTGTTGTTTTTTACTACTAGTGTCTAGTACTTGTGATTTCAATCGGCTGCTATGCTCGTTACTTGCTTCTTCATTCATAGACCATATAGTCCCTACCTCTCTGGATGGATGAAATTGTGTGAGTAATTGCTTGTGCTCTGGTGTCAAAGGGAAAGGAATTCAGTCGCGTGCTACAGACTACAGAGAGCTCTTTTGATCGGAAGCCAATGAAGTAATGGAGGGTATATAACCTGGGGGGGGGGGGGGGGTTGTGCGAGAGTTCATCTAGATTGAAATCTGACTCAGAATTTGCGGCCCCATTTATCTCCTTAGGAAATTTCTGAGCACCAAGACCATCAAATTCCCCCTTCTGTCACCTGTATATAAGTGTCTGCCTTTCCTCCATGCCATTAACTGTTTTAGCCATTTGATTGATATGCAGGATGTTGGCGAAATCCCCATCATTGCCTTTCTTAACTGCTACTGAAACTGCTGCGATCAGCCTCTCTCCAAGCGTAAGATGCTCCACTTTGTCCGGTGATGGCCATTCATGTTGTGTTTTTCCAGAGATTCTCACCTTCATTTCCTGCCATGCTGAATCGACAAATTATATAGTTTTGCACTGTTAATATTGAGCATGTGCGCCTTTCAGTGTCGGACTATATTTATTGGCACTCTTTATATGAACGTGCGCCCCACATAAGGATTAAATGTCTTGTTCAGTGAAAAAAAAATATTGTGCCAGCTGACTACTTATGTATCATATACTATGACACCATATGAATTTGATGAAATGGCCTCTCAAATGCGTTTAATGAAACAGATGTGCGTGGGGTTCTTCAGTCATCCAGTGGTTAGATACTTAGATATACCTTTACACCTCGACACGTTCAGCAAATTCAGACTGCATTTAAGTATTTATTTTGGTTAGGTCCCTGGCAGCATTCTCATTGATTTGATGTTCAATACTAGATGCTTTTCTCAAACATCATTTACCAATTCTCCATTTGTTCAAAAATCTATGTTTTCAGTGAAGGGCCATGTACTGTGTTTCTGCACTTGGAGTTATGTAATAAGTTATGCGGTGTTTTATACTTTTATTATGTTACCTCTAGTTTGTAACAAGCTTGATATCTCCATTAGGAGTTCTCTATTTCTATATGTCTATCTTTTTTTTCCTTGAAAAAACTGGTTCACTATATCACATTCAGTTCCAGCTTGCTTCAGATTGATTTAATGTATTTTGATGAATTTTGAGTGATTCATGTTTTGTGTAGTGTGATCTCTTTAGTTCACCAAATGCGAGATTTTCCAAGAAGAAATATGGAGGAAGATTAACTATCCAGCCAAACATTGAATTTGGAAAAACTCAAAATAGTAGGACTCAGAGAAAATGGAGGACATTCTCCGCTGATCAAGCTCAAGCTACCGTTGTCGATGCTGGTGACAACAAAACATGGGAAGAAGCCAAACAGATACTAACATCACTGGATTACTCCATTGAAGACGCCGACAAAATGCTGAAGAAGGCATTTGGATGGATTCATTCACCATACTGGAGTGAAGAGAGAAAGAAGGAGGTTCCAAATGCTGAGGTGGTTAGTGGAGTACTGAACTACATTAGAACTCTTGGGCTCTCCGATGATGACCTTCGCAAATTGCTGAAGAAATTCCCAGAAGTACTTGGATGTGATCTTGACAGCGAGGTGAAACTGAATGTAGGCAAGCTGGACAGTGACTGGGGAATAAATGGAAAAACACTCCGGAGTCTTCTTTTAAGGAATCCAAAAGTTTTGGGGTACAATGTGGACTGCCGAGGGGACTGCATGGCGCAGTGCACCCGTTGCTGGGTTAGGTTCTAGTTCTGCTCTACGTTAATGTGCAGAACTTACAGTTGAATTATAGGTTCCCAGCTATTTGTCTATTTCTATATCGGTTACTCAAAACCTCTCTTAACATAAACAAAACACATTTATAGTAGATGGATTAGCCTCAGCATGTTAGTTTTGTTTACATCTTGAACAGCACCTTTTCCATACTATCTGTATCAGGGATGTAAAAACAAATATATCAGATACCTGAATTTCTGTGAGTGCTTCAACGTTTAATTGTTCTTTTCTTTTGGTCTGTTGAGGCAATGAGAGTACTTGAATTGTGCTGTTCTGCCATTCTTGTCATTGTGCTTGATATATAATCAGTATCTCATATTTGTGTATTAAAAAAAATCAGTTTCTCATTTGCATCTGATTACCTGATATATGTATGATGAACAAGTGTTTCACGGTTCTGAGTAATGAAATGCAATATGATATGTCAGTATCTGCAGATGGAAGGGGTCTCAGATTCCCCAATCTCTTGGGTTGTTTCAACATGTGCAGGATTAAGGTATGTCCAGTCTAATGCCCTCTTCTGATTTCCCCTTTTTAGAGAGAAAAAAAATGTTTCTAACATGTTTCCTAAGTGTTGTACATGCTAGTGTCAATTGATTAAGCTTAAGCTTTGACATTATTCATCAGGTTTGAGAGACAGTTCAAAGTTTGAAACCATCCTCTGTTCTCAAAAATCGAATGCTGCTGCTGCAAAGAGATCAATTCCATCGAATTCACAGTAATCGAGCCCCATCGGCGAGAGGCTTCCTCGCTCATCCTCCATGCTGCCTTTGATCATCAATCCATCGGAGAAGAAGCGGTTCGTGTCCACCGTTCTGCCCACTGCCTCGCCGGCGGCGTGCGGCAGCTGACCGGAGGCGGCGTCGTCGTCGTAGTCCTCGGGCGGCAGCGCCGGCGAGTGGCCGTCGAAGATGGCGACGTGGGCGAAGAGCTTGTCCTTGCGGGAGAAGGAGGTGCCGCAGGAGCAGACCCAGCGGTCGCGGCCGCAGTGCTTCTCGTGGGTGCGGAGGTCGGCGACGACGGAGAACCTCTTGACGTTGCAGCGGCGGCAGGTGAAGCTCTTGTCGCAGTGGCTCCGCCGGTAATGGTTCTTGACGCAGGTGGGCGTCTTGAGCGGCTGGAAGCTCTTGTGCTCCCTGTTCCTCTTGCACCCCACGTACGGGCAGGAGTAGAAGCGCCTCCTCGCCGCCGCGTCCGCCGCCGCCGGCGAACGCGACGGCGAACCGCCGGGCTTGGCCAGCGCGGCCGCCGACTTGTACTCCTCGCCGTGTCCGCGCATGTGCATCCGCAGGTTGGCGTCGCGCTTGAAGCCCTTGCCGCACACGCCGCAGAAGTGGACGTGCGGCGCCAGGATCTCCTCCTTCTCGATCTGGACCACCTCGTAGGAGCCCCGCGGCGGGGCGCGCTCGCCGTCGCCATCGGCGCCCTCGTCGGCGTCGCTGCTGCCGTCGTGCTTGGCGTCCGCGTCCGCGTCGTCGCCGCCGCGGCGCGCCGCGGCGAGGTTCTTGGAGATGGAGACGAGCTGCACGACGATGCAGCTGAGCTCGGCGGCGACGATCTGCGGCGGCGGGTTCGGCGTCGACGAGATTATGCCGCGGAGGTGGCCGATCTTCTGCTCCAGAAATGTCAGGTACGTCAGCACCGCCCTCGCGTTCCCAGCTGCTGCTGCTGCTGCTTCGCCGCCATGGCGAGCTTGCGTCGTGCTACTCGCATCAAAATCACACAGCTCCATGATCATCTGGGAGAAATCTTCATCTTGCTCCAAGTACATCGCCTGATTATTATTATTGTTGCTGAAATGATCGGCACTACTACTCATCATCATCGTCGACAACAACGATGAATATGATCCTTCCCCTGAAATACATGCCAACAAAAATTGAATCAATGATCAAGAACCCAAATGGACATGTTCAGAGTGGCATTGGCAATGGCATAACACTTACCCTGAGATGATGAGAATGACAATGCTGATCAAAGAAAGGTAAAAATTCGATCGAGTGTCAGATGATTTTTTTTGTGCTCCTGATCAGATCACTTCTGCTTGTCGGTGATGAAATGTGAGTCGAGCTGACAGCTGAGCTAATCAAGGCAGTAATATATACTCCAATTGATAAGGTGTGTGGGCTCCACGGCGGCGGCGACTAGGTCGACGGCATGGTAAGCTCTTGCGTCACTAAAGCCGAAGCATTGGCATGGAAATGTAATGTGCACGAGTTGGTTGACTGGTTTCTTCTTCAGGATCTCGTGCTTTTTCTTCCTGGCTCTTGGTGCTCTGCTTTGGTCAGGAAAGCCACCAAATTTTGCCCTTTTGAACAACAGAAAGCTTACATATTATAATCACTTTTTTCTAATTAAACTTCTTTAATATTTTTTACACAAAACAAACATATTATCAAAAAAATCTATCAACAGATGAATAGCAATTCCGTATATTTAATGTTAGAAAATATATTCAATGTTAGATTTAATGAAATTAATTTGATTTTTAAGATGTTACTAATTTTTATGTAAATCTAGCTAAACTTAATAAAATTTGACTAGAAAAAAAGTTAACGACTTATAATATAAAGGGGATGGAGTATTTTATAATTTTACTGGGTACACGTTGCGTTAAAAGGCCCCATGGATGTGTTGACCTCACTTGCCGATCACCATTCCTTCACTGATCATTTTTTTGCCTTTCCTCTGAAAGAGAACAGCAAGGTCACCTTCCTTCCACAGCATAAGTAACAAGGTAAGCATGATGCATATGCTTGGGAAGTTGGGTTGATGTCACCGGGTATTACCGTATTGTGTTCCTCTTGAGTATCTGTGAGTGTTCACACCAACCGATTTTATTAAGAGCGGGCTAACCGCATATTTGTGCTGTAACAGAAGTGTTTACACACGATACGTATGCTCCACAGTCCACATACGCTACTGGTACTTATTTTGTTTTGGAGATCTCTAGGCTTTAGATAACTTAAAATTGTGAGAAATTTCGCTCACCTCCAACCTCTAAATCAAGGGAAATAGGAGAAAAGAGAGAGGGAAATTAATGGCAAAGGACTCAATGGCGGCTGCGATACTAAGTTAGAGGTTAGGGGGTTGAAGGCAGAAGAAACAGGGGGATTCCATGAACTTGGAAGGATGACGGGAAGCGCTGAGGACATGCGATCGGCCGTGGACGTGGGCAGGTGGCTTGAGGGGTTGGAGGAGCCACGGTGGACGAGGTCGACAATGGGTGCTTCCGATCTGGAGTACTTCCTCCGTTTTATATTATAAAACTTTTTAATATTACCTATATTTATATATATGTTAACGAATCTAGACATATATATGGGTTTAGATTCATTAACATTTATATGAATGTGGACAATACTAGAAAATCTTATAATATGAAACGGAGGAGGTAGTTAGAAAGATGAGGGTGGCAGTGGTGGCGGTGTCTCATAGCACAAGCCGTCGGGAAAAAAAACAAGCAGGGTGGGGGTACTTTACCGCCGCTTGGGCTTTAGGAGGAGCAAGAGGAGGGGAAGGGAGAAGGCCGGTAGGGCAAGCCTTGTTGACAATACGCAAGGGGTAGGAAAAAGCACAAATTATAACGCATGTGGCTCAATCAGATCTGGAGTCAGGGGAAGATGTCCGTTACTGTAGTAGCACACACAAATATTGATGCAATCTAGCCATGCATAACACAACTTAAAATTATGGGTAGTTTTAGGTGACTGAAAATTACACAACCACATTTCTTTTATTTCTTTTATTTGAGATTAGTCTTAAATGTATCACACTTCTCTCGCATGTTGTGTGCGAGGACAAGGAGACACTAAAACTAAGTTTTTCTCTACCAACTAATTTGTTGCATCAATAGTGAAGATTAAAAGTAAAGTAATATTTCTTTTTTTTAAGACCAAGAGCTTGAGTTTTGTTTACCAGAAAAAAGATACAATCATATGCGAAATCGTCAACATATATAAAGCTAGACCAACGGCTATAACACTCTAGATAATTCTCGCTAAAAACATGATGGAAAAAACTGCATAGTTGGATTATACATTATCGGTTAGTATTGTGTAAACGAACCACGGAACAAGGTGTGTAGAAATTAGTAAGTCGAGAGGGGCGACCAAGTCAAAACGAAGAGCGAAATGGCAGCATGCAGTGCACCGTATTCGGACATGCATGTAACAGCGTCCAGATTAAGTGACAGTGTGCCACGTATGTCCACGTACAGTTGCGCTCTGCTTAGAAGCAAAAGGCAAATTTTACTACATGACATCACGACTTTGTGGTTTTAGTTGTAAAACACTGCACAAACTCATTTTTGGGGGGAAACACTATCTAACACTGCACAAACTCATTTTTGGGGGGAAACACTATCTAACACTACACAAACTCACTTTTGGGGGGAAACACTATCTAAACGTGGTTATTTGTTTGCTGCTGGACACCGCGCGCATTAAAATATTAATTTCTAGTTGAGTAGGAGAGATAAAGAGTGTGAAATGTCAAAAATACCCCTTGCCCCACTTGTCATATTCTTCCTCTTCCTCCTTATTTTCCCTTTCTAATGTCACGGCAGCGCTCCACCGCGTCGTGGGTGCACTCTGGCACGGCGGCATTCGGCGGAGACAGCGCTTTGGCAGTATCTGTGAGTGGTGGCGCCTGCATGAGGAGATGGAGGCGGACTCGTGGCGCGTCATCGAGCTCCGAAACGATGGGAAGGCGGCGCTCGACGACGGGCGGCATCTGCCGAAGTTGAGGAAGAGAGAGAGGGAAGCGGCAGTGCGAAAAGAGAAGGCTTCGGCCTCGGAGCGGCCGGAGCTCACCGGCGGCGGCAGCGGCACGGGAATGACGTGGCAGTGACGATGTCGCAGCTCGAGGCGACGGCATGAAGTAGCGGCGGCGTGGCTTGGGCCGGCTCGGAGTTCTCCCCCTCTTTGTGCTAATCCACAAGCAACCAACATCACGGAGTCAAATCTCTCGTCTCCAATTTCTTCCTTTTTCCATTGAGCCAAATTGCAACACTCAAACACCAAATCGTACAGTAGCAAGCCACACACAAGCATAGCTGCTGCTGCCCCCCATCGAACCGTTGTAGAGTGCTCAGGCACCACTGGCTAGAGTGCTCAGGCACCGTTGGCGGCAGCTTAGCCGTGGTATCTGGACGCGGCGCACCTAGCAAGAGGTCTCGCCCGACGACCACGGCCCCCGGCGGTTGGGACTCTCTCGCCCCCGTGCTTGCCATCTTGAGCCGTGGGCGCATCACCTGTGAGACGCCGTGGTGGGAGATAGAGGAAGAGCTAAAGGAAGAAGAGAGGAAGAGGAAAAGAAAGGAGGGGCAATTTGGTCACTTCGTGTAAAATTTTGAGCCCTCTATTGACTCGTCAACACGAATACACTATTTTAATGGACGAATACTCTATTGACTCTGGCAAATAACCACGTTTAGATAGTATTTTTTTCCCCCAAAAGTAAATTTGTGCGGTGTCCTACAGCTAAAACCACAAGTCGCGATGTCTTGTAGCAAAATTTGCCAAAGCCAAATTAACACGGTTAGTCCTGTCGATGTTATTGGCTTACGGCTCCATGCACCTACTGACACAAAGGGTTTATTGAAGTTTCTGATAGCTATTAGAAGCGATCATGTAAACATTCTAAATTTTCATTTTATTTTTTTTTAAAAAAATATAGTTGTAGAATTAAAAAATAATTAAAAGTCGGAAGCTAATTATAAACTACTATGAGTTTCTTCATATTCTAATAAGAATCTTAAGTTCTTAAACAAGGACAAGAAAGCTAGTGTAACTTGTTTGCCCTTTCATGTAACTAACCGACCCTATGCTTGCTGCCGTTGAACTGTCACCGACTGCACGTGTCTGATTACTATTCTTGCCTATATTTTGAAACAGCTTATCCAAACTTAGTAGCTTACGTGGCAGAATCTTGAAGCTTTCACAACACACAACGCAGCTCTCACCAGACACCAGCCATGCCTTGGTCGATCAGCTGTACTAGGGAGTATATCCTTCAACAAACACTGTTGTTGATGGTTGTTCTTGAAAAAATCGAACACACCGGTCTAGGAGATCTGCTTAGCTCCTGTGCAGGTTTAAAGATTAATGAGATGCGGGCGTACCAGTTAGTTTAATCCTACAACTGACAAGATTTACAAATAATAGATCAAACAGCCGATCGGCTGACAAGCCGATAGAGTAGTTCCAGCCGATAGTCGATAATAGCCGATGCCGATACCAGCCGATAGCGATAGGTTTAAGCAATCGGCTATATGTCCAATGTAGATAATGATATAAAGACAATCGGCTGATGATAATATAATATAGCAATATAATCCAGTAGAAACCAATCGGCTAACAATATGAAATAGTAGAACAAATATTGATCCGAAGGTTAAAGCACGCATCGGCTGGAGGTCCGATGTCATAAGATCCACAAGATTATATTAAACAGTGAAACCTTTGTTGCCATCAGCTAAATCCAACTTATATGTATATACAATCCCTACAAGCCGATGCAACGTCCAGATAACTTATCGGCTAGCACCCCGATAAAATATTAGCATGAACCTATCGGCTTAACAAGACTTATATTATCAACTACAATCTAGTAGATCGAACCTAACCGATGCAGCACGAGATTGTATATGATAATCTAATACTCGATGAGCCGATAGATCTGTCTAATGTGATGGATATAACAAATCTATTTAGAACAACATTATGATTGTAGAGATATATCGGCTAAGATAGGGGATCAGACCTAACCGAGATAGTCCCAACTAAACCGATGCGTCTCTAAACACAATGCAATTAGAGATAGATTTGAGATATCAGATAGGCAAATATATCAACCAAACCAGAGTGATCCAAGAGATCGAATCGATGCAGCCTTGAACAACACCAACATAGCCGACAGATTCACCAGGGCCCAACAGAACGTAGGACTTACCCCTTCGTTGGAGATCGAAAGTCGATGCAGCCCTGCGTCAGGTGCCCAAGTTCCGCCGGAAGATAAGTGAAAACCTCAGGGAAGAGGGTGGCGATGTGCCGAGAGTATTATTGATCGATAGATTGATAGATTACAATGACCCCGGGTGTACATATTTATACCCATAGGGAGATACTAGTCCTTGTCGGACAAGAAAGAAACTAAAAAGGAAAAGATAAAGTTCTTATCGGACACTAAACACACTTTCCTAAAGATAAAAGGAAACTAACAAACTATACCTAATTAATAGATAATAAGCTTCCTTTAATTGATCCGACTCCACCAAGAACACGACATCGTGGCGACTTGACTCCCATCGGCTGATTCTAGAACTTTGAAGCCGATACTGACTCTAAACCGATGGTAACTTTGGGCTTACCAAATTTCACTGTTAACAATGGTATCCGACATGGAATACTATTATTAGAGCAAATTTAATAGTATAGTCAACTACTAACTCCAAATTATCTAGAGCTAATGTAATAGTCAATTTATACAATAGTTGCTTACTATACTATTAATACCCGATTCCACCTGTCATACACTCGTTACGTTGTGAAGTCTGTGCTGCAGTTGGCTACATATCTGTAGTCCGCTGCTCTTCTCTCTCTTTATTTGTCTATTTAAAATATATTTATAGCTGGCTTATAGCCCGCTATTATACATGCTCTTATCATATTAAGAGTGGCTTCGCAGAAGCTGCGGAAAACAACAAAAGCGGATCTCTATGATTGCGAAACGTAACTATGACCGTTCGTGCGGGAAAGAGTGTTGTCTTTGTACAGGGCCCCACCCCCACGGGACACGCACCAGCTGACAGTCCAATGACGGTGAGGGCTATGGGCCTTGGGCCGCACGCATGGCATGGCCCAATTGCTGGCCGCGGCCGGACAACGAAGCCGTGAGCCGTGGCCCATTAACAACAAGTGGGCCGAACTAAGTTGTTGGGCCGTAGCCAAGTTACAGGGAAGAGAGACAAACAAAAACTAACGGAAAACGGAACACGTAAAATTGCACACCATCAGCAACATGATCTGACATCTCCCAGATATATGGGCATGCATTTACCTCGAATTATCCATTCACGTCAACTATATGTACTACTATTATATAATATATAATATAATAATCGCTTACTATTAATATACGGTACCTACATATATATTTTCTCCGTCTCAAAGTGTAGCCATGAGCATTATGCGTGAATTTACACGAGCCAGTGATTTCTTTCTTTCCTTGTTTTTTACCGTCCATCACTCCATCAGGTGAGGTAAGTAGCAAATTATCGAAAAAGTAGTGCACGAGTATTCGCCATTAGTTGATCCGGCGAATCGGTCGACGGAAGGAGAAATCGGATAAACGTCATTTTCTTCCGTTTTCAATTTTCTTTTTCCTTCTTTTTACGAGATTCTTCTGTAATATGTTGCAAGTATCAAGCATTTCTGTTTTTTTTTTCACTTCTATTTATTTCTCAGATTTTTTTTGTTATATATAGTTTTTGGGATTTGCTATAAAAAAATTTCTAGTTTTTTTATCTTTTTAACGGAAATTTTCTATATAAAAAGTTTTCGTGAAAACTTCCTATATATGTAGGGAGATTTTTTATACATATATATATATAGACTTTGTATATGTAAACTTTATATAGAAATTACATCATACTTACAAAGTTTAGTGCAGAAATAACAAAATGCTAAAGGAATGTTTTTTAAATGAATAATATCCTTAGAAAATTTCTATAAATAGACTTTTTATATAGAAAGAATATATGTAAACTTTATGTATATGGACTTTGACTACGTACACTTCATATGGGCCGAAGAAGTTGTAGGGTCGTATCCACGTAGTAGTAAAGTATATTTGTACAAGAAAAAGTACACCGGAGGTCCCTCAACTTGTCATCGAGTTTCAAAATTGTCCCCTAACCACGATACGAGATATCCGGCGTCCCCCAACTTACGAAACCAGTGCAACCTAGGTCCTCGGCGGTTTTGAGTCCGGTTTTGTCCGATGTGGCAGCTGACTCAGCGTGGGACCCACGTGGGCCCCACGCGTCAGCCTCTTCTTCCCCTCCCCTCACCTCTCTTCCTCTCTCCTCTTCACGGCGCCGGCGGAGGGAGAAGCCACGCGCGGGCAGCAGGCGATGGAGTGGCGCGTGGGCGGACGGTGGGCGGAGGGCGGACAGCGGAGCGGCGCTCAGGCGGACACAAGGCAGAAGGGAAGGGCGGTGGCGGCGGGAGCACGGGGGAGATCGAAGAGGACGACCTCAAGCACGGCGGCAAGCATAGTGGGGCGACGACGAGGCGAAGCGGAGCGGCGGCGCGGCAGTGAGGCGGCGGCGGGCAGAGAAGGCAGGTGGAATGGGGCGAGGGCGGCGGAGCAACCAGGCGGAGTGGGACGACGGGTACTGGAGCTCGCAGATGGCCGGCGGCACAAGACTGCGGCGACAACGGTGAACGGCGCCGCGACGGCGAGAACGGAGGGCACCGGAAGGAATAGCATGACGCGAGCAGCTCATCGAGGACGCCGCCGGCTTCGCAAGGGGTAGCACAACGACAGATGGCGAAGGGAGACGGGAATCCAACGAAGGATGTTGGGGTCGTCGGCGGCGGCGGTGGTGACCCAGATGGGAAGCAAGGGGACGGCGCCGCCGGGGGAGCCGTGGAAGTGGAGCGTGACGCAGAGGCAGCTGCTGCTGCCGCCGCCTCCGCTGTCGGTGTCGCCGCCCGTGTTGCGGCTGCCGCTCCGCCGTCCGCCCGCGCGCCGCTCCGCCCGCCGTCCGCCGCCCACCGCTCGCGCGCCACTCCGCCGCCTGCCGCCCGAGCGCCGCTCCGCCCGCCGTCTGCCCGTGCGCCACTCCGCCGCCCGCTGCCCGCGCGTGGCTTCTCCCCCCGCCGGTGCCATGAAGAGGAGAGAGGAAGAGAGGTGAGGGGAGAGGAAGAAGAGGCTGACGCGTGGGGCCCACGTGGGGTGCCACGCTGAGTCAGCTGCCACATCAGATAAAACAAGACTCAAAACCACCGAGGGATCTAGTTTGCACTGGTTTTATAAGTTGGGGGACGCCGAATATCTGGTATTGTGGTTGGGGGATGATTTTGTAACTTGATGACAAAGTTGAGGGACCTCCGGTGTACTATTTCCTATTTGTACACCACCAGCAACATGATCTGACATCTAGCTCCAAAACATATGTGCATTCGTCTATAATTATCCATTCACATAAATAGACAAGTATTTGTACAGCGTAGAATTGCATAGTACAGAGATAAGCACACGTCGGCAGTTTAAACAAGATTAATTAAGGAGAAAAAAAAGCTGAATCAGTGTGCTACACAATCACCCAAAGCACACGCCTACACGCAGCAAAAGAACATGAAAGCACGAGAAATTAAAATTAAAAACACCGAGCGGATCTCCCAGCGAAATCGTTCGTTTTGATCTCATCAGCTGATGCCGTCGAAGTTGCTGCTCATGAGCGACAATGTCGCGCTCGGTAGCACCCGGTTCACCTGAGGTTGCTCTGCGAATTGATTAAACCAAACACACCATTGCGTTCAGTTCGCATCATCAGGATCTGACAAAACTGTAGCTAAAATCACCAATTAATTAATTTGATTAGACTACTCACTCTTAACCGCCTCCAGCTCCGACGGAGTGAGCCTCGCCGAGAACCCGCTCACGACGTTCTTGTAGTTGTATATGATTGCCCCCTTCGCCTTCTCCTCGCTGAATTCATTTCCAGATTCCAAATCATTTATCAGAAGTTGCATTAATTCAGAATTGTTAATTTGGATCGGTTGATTTTGATCGATGCAGCGGCGAGGATGGTATACTATTACCTGCCGAGCGCGGCGGCGAGGATGGAGAGCTGGTAGGCGGTGCAGACGACGCCGGAGGGCGGGGGGTCGACGAAGACGAGGTAATTAGCTGCGCCGCCTTCTCCGGCGGCGACAGCCGCGGCCATGGCGACGGCGGCGGCGAGGAGGAGGGAGACGGTGGCGGTCCAAGGTTTCATGGCGAGATTGGCGAAGGATCTCAGCGGTGCCTCTCCTCTATCGGATTGCTGTTTATGAGCAGCGAACGAGAGGTCCGTATTAAGCTGCGGGATGCATTAGCATTAGCTCCTATAATAGAATGTGAATGTATAGCTAATCTGCATTTTGGAAAAAATGGAGCTTAATTAACAAAATACAATATTACACTTGTGTTCATTCAGATCAAGTAAGGATACAAAACTACGTATGTATTTTTACAAACTAACAAAAATACAGAACCGGACTCCCCTGAATCTGCAAAGTGCAATACCTAAAAACTCCACACGCGCGCTGTTAAATACACGTAAAACTTGAACATAGATTTTCATAATTAACGAGTAGAAGCAAACACGTAGTATTAATTTCTGTGTGTATGAATTTCTTGAGGTTTTCATCAGGTGACAGCACATGCAATGTCATCGATCATACGACGACGGGCGCAACGGCGGCGTCGGAGCCGTGCTTGGTGACGTCGTACATCTCGCCGTCGCCCCAGAGCGCGTAGGCCTCCTCGCCGTGGACGGCGTCGTCGCCGACCTCGAGCTTGTCGTCGGGCATGCGGAGCGGGACGAGGAGGTTGATGGCGAGGCAGATGAGGGAGGTGACGGCGACGTTCCAGGCGACGACGAAGAGGCCACCGGCGATCTGCTTGCCGAACTGGGCGCCGCCGGCGCCGCCGTAGAAGGCGCCCCGGGAGTCGGCGACGGGGAGGAAGAGGTTGCAGAGGGTGGGCTCGGCGAAGAGGCCGGTGAGGAGGCCGCCGAGGAGGCCGGCGACGCCGTGGGTGTGGAAGACGCCGAGGGTGTCGTCGACGCGCTGCAGGATCTTGGAGCGCTTGTGGAGGATCATCATGGTGTACCACGGGATGCTGCCGGCGAGCACCCCCATCACCAGCGCCGCCCACCCCTGCACCACCCCTGCAATACCAATCCATACAACGTTTGATTCTTCGTCTTATTTACTTTTTTAATGATAAATATTCTTATTGTTATTAGATGATAAAACATGAATAATACTTTATATATGTCTATTTCATTAAAAAAATTATAAATTTTTTAAATAAAACAGATGGTCAAACGTTGGATACAGAAATACAAAAATGAACTTAATTTAGAACGGAGGCAGTAATTCAGTACTAAGTTGCTATGTTTTGATACGAAAAGAGTACTTTCTCCGTTTTACAATGTAAGTCATTCTAACATTTTCCACATTTATATTGATGTTATTTGTTAGAATGACTTACATTGTAAAACAGAGGTAGTATATGTTTTATTGACATTCATGTATATATTGTATGGAAAAGAAAAATCATAATATTATGCTCTATTGAAATCTGTATTATACGCACGAATCTAAAAACAAATATAACGATAAGGGGGTGTAGGTGTGTGTCGTAAATAAGGACACGGATCCTTTGCAATAGCAGTGACGGTGGCTGATGTCATCGATTGCTATGGAGTACTGTAGTCCATCTTCGCCGCGTAAATAGACTTTGAACGAAGTCACCGACGGAATGGGAGGCTGTAAAATATTCTACTTTTATTTTCAGTGTGCTTTTCTTGGCTGCTTGCGTACAAGAAAAACTCAGAAAAAACAAATTGGCAGTGTCAGACGACTTTGACTTTACTAGTACTACGAGTTAGTGATAGGTATTGACATAAGCACGAACGACAAATAAGATTCCTGGTTTCCGACGAAATATGTACTACCTCCGCCCAACTTTAATCATTCGTTTTATTTAAAATTTTTTTATAATTAGCAATTTTGTAGTTATAAGATGATAAAACATAAATATTACTTTACTCGTGAATTATGTTTTTAATTTTTTTCAAAAAATTTTCAAATAAGACGAGTTGTCAAAGTTGAATGCGGAAAACCATAGCTGCACTTATTTTGGGACGAAGTGATTATGTATCAACCAACCTAGATTCCGATGAACGTTTTGTATTTGTTCACATTAGGTACTGTAGTGACCAGTGACCGGAAATTGAGTATGAAAAATTTACGACTCTTCGACTACAAGAGAGAGAGAGAGAGAGAGACATGATGAATCAGTTGCGTGTGCGTGTTTAATTAGTTGCCACAAAATGGTAAACGGCGTAATCTACGGGGAAAATGCAGATTATTTGGCAGGCAAGGTAACGAACCTCCTGTATTGTTGGCAACGCAGACAGTTTAGAATTCAAAGTCAAAACAACCTGGGCGTGAAGGATCATTAATCTGCAAACCGGGATAATCTAATCTAATTAAGAATCGATCCGAGCTCGTCACGCGCGCCATCACGTTATAGTTCATCGATCCCAAAGTTAATTAGAGTACTAGACAACAATTTGATTAATATAAGGCTATGTTAGGTACTCAGTTTTTCCAATTTCAACTCCTTTGTTTTGCATACACGTGTCTTCCCAAACTACTAAATGGTACATTTTCGTAAAAGTTTTGTATAGAAAGATTGTTTTTTTAAAAAAAATAACAATAATTTACTTTTAAGTTATTTTAGCTAACACTTAAGTAATAAGGTTTCGTTTTCTGTGTAGTGTGATGAATGACGTACCTGCAGCGGGGGTGATGCAGACGAGGCCGGTGATCATGCCCTGGACGGCGCCGACGACGGAGGGCTTCTTGAAGAAGATGACGTCGAGGCATGTCCAGACGATGAGGCTCATGGCGGTGCAGATGTTGGTGTTGAGGACGGCCATGGAGGCGACGGAGTTGGCGGCGTACGGACCACCGCCGTTGAACCCTGCCCACCCCATCCATAGTAACCCTGCCCCCGTCAGCGTGAACAGTATGTTGTTCGGCGGGAACCTCTCCCTGTCCTTCTGTGCCCTTGGCCCCACCTGCCAGCCACACATTGATATATATGTACACTTGTCAGAGCCACTTCGACGTCGGCGGCGGCGGAGTACTATTGTTTAGCTTATTCGTGAACGATAAGTAATTCGTGAATAAAACTTTTATATATATGTTCTTAGCGAACTTAAAAAAGGCTGAAAAATAAACTTCGATGAAAAAGCTCCAAAATCAGCTTTAAATTAATATAAGGTTAAAAATTTTAATATTGGCTTATGAGTATAAGCATAAGCGAAAAGATGAGACTGGTGGTACGGACCCAGTAGGCGGCGGTGAAGCCGGCGATGCCGGCGGAGACGTGGATGACGTAGCCGCCGCAGTAGTCGATGACGCCCCAGTGGAAGAGGAAGCCGCCGCCCCAGAGGGAGAAGGCGCCGACGGTGTAGGAGAAGGTGAGCCAGAGCGGGACGAAGATCATCCAGGCGAGGAAGCTCATGCGGCCGAGGAGGGAGCCGGCGACGAGGATGAGGGTGATGGCGGCGAACACGCACTGGAAGTACACCACCGTCGCCATCGGGTACAGCGGCTCCACCGCCGCCGTCTCCACGCTGCCGTCGGCGCGGTAGTGGACCGTCGCCGGCAGCGCGGCGCGGCCGACGAGGAGGCCCTGGTCCAGCGCCGGCCGCGCCTTCCCCCAGATCGGGAGGAGCTTCTCCCCGAACGACATGTTGTACGCCCAGGTGACCCAGCAGATCCACACGGCGGCGAAGGCGTAGAGCGCCATGAACGCCGAGTTCACCGCCCACTTCTTCTTCACCACGCCGCCGTACAGCACCACCAAGCCCGGCACGCTCTGCAGCCCCACCACCGTCGCCGCCACCAGCTGCCACGCGTTGTCGCCCTTGTTCAGCCAGTCCGCCACCGACGCCGACGTGTTCCCCTGGTACGCCAGCGGCACCACCGTCGCCGACGACGACATCTTCGTCGCCGATTCAACACACACTAAGCTTAGTATGCTTTCTTTAATTTGGTATCCTAGTTAGTGTTAGTTAGGCAGCTTATATAGAGATAGAGAGAGGATGCATGGTCCAGGTGGCGATCGATTAACCATTTTGACTCGCTAGCTAGGACTGTACGTACTAGCGGTTAAGATAAATTTAAGAGAGGTTAAATTCGTTTGTTTAATTAGGGAAGGAATCATCAACGACCAGCATGTACACCACAAACTCGTTTGAAGTAGCCATGAGCACATGACTTTGGCTGCATGTAGTACAGATCATCATCCACATCAACTAATTAATATATTTTTCTCATTTTTACCCAGCAGCAGATTCCTGGCTACAAGCCTACTACAACCCTAGCTTTGTCCATCAAGATTCAATAATGATTAAGAAATGATCAAGTATACTTGCTGTTTTGACTAAAGAAATCTGTACTTGCACTAAGTTTACAAATACTGTATATTTTGGTCTGTTAGTAGTGTGCAGAGAAGTGCAGCTTAGCATGATCAAGCAATCTAATTGGAGGTTGTGTCGTGCTGGTCATATACATGAACTTTCTGCATAATAATCTATGCTGCGCAAAGATTCTTCCGGTACATCATAAGTTCTAGTAAATGTAGTTTTCTGTTTCAATGATGCAACCTACGATGCAATGGCTATTCCAATCGGGAACATGCAGTACAAGTGCGATCTTCATGTTTTCTTCTTCTACGTGACTACTGATGAAAAAAAAACTAAAAATATACGCTAAGTTGCAAAATGAGTACTCAAACCTATATCATACTAGTAATACTGATGAAATTAATACCGAAAAATACATTAAGTTTTAGCAGACGTACTACTGGCATGAGCATGACAATGCTAGCAAGGACATGCATCTAGAAATCTATGGCATGATATCTTTGACTAAACGCTAGCACCAGTGTTATTGACCTCACCAACAAATCTGACAGTGCATAGAGATTCTTGTAGCTCTGACCTCAGTTAACACAGGCCCATGTATACATTTCTACTGAACACTAGTACTCCGTACTACTTTTCACCAAACATATATATTCGATCATGTGTGCAAATACTGGGATTGCTACAAGTGTGTTTCATATATAAGGCAGGTGCTAGGCGCACGCGTGTATTCTTATGTGAGCACATCCAAAAACTAGACCAATATACCTTAAGATTATTAAAGTTAATATAAACATATTGCTATTAACGGGTACATCACTTAATTACCACCAAAAGAATAGTTAATAAAAAATACGAGCAATTAAACGTGTTGAGTCTAATATTTAAATATGGCTGGTTATATCAGTGGGTAGGTTCCACTACAGAAAACCTAGCGAGCTAAGCTATGCTAAGTTTGTTTCCTCCATTTTTAAATATTCAATGGTTGATTTTTCGACATAATGTTTAACTATTTATCTTAATATAAAATACTATGAATTTAATAAAAAGACTAATTCCTAAAATACATCGCAACAAAACAAAATAAATGGTTCTCTAAATAAAGAAAATGATCAAATATTATGTCTAAAAGTTAACGTCTTATATTTAAAGTGGAGGCAGTATTATCGCAGAACATTTTGACCGTCCCTTTCCATGTATAGTGCTACAATGACCACTTAAGTTATACTCATAAGTTCTCAAAACAAAAAAAGTCATATTCATAATACTCTCGAGCATCCCTCTCCTATTAGTTTTAGGAGCTTCGTATGCATGACCTCACGCATACGACCCGAATAACATTTATTTAAATTAGTATTCTTAATTATAGAGTACTCTTGCATTTAGATTATTGCGCTGGTATGCTTTTTTTTTTACCTTGATCCATCGATATAGGCTTCGTAACTGGGCGTACATTAGAATCTTAGAAACTAGGTGATTTTCTGTGCTTTACAGCGGGAATTACTAAGCAATTCTCAATATATATTTTTTTTCGACAATCAAGTTAGGAGTAAAAAGCAAAAATATAATGAAACATCAGTACTTATCATAAAACAAACAAATGATACCCGTGCTTTAATGTGAAATATATTGATAAGTATATGTTAAATATTAGTAAATGATAGATAGATTTGTTAAAATATTGTGCAAATGATGAGAGGGGTGATGTGATTGGATATGCTTGCATGTTGATTTGTAGAATTAAATACTCCCTCCGTCCCATAATATAAGGGATTTTGAGTTTTTGCTTACACTATTTGATCACTCGTCTTATTCAAAAAATTTATACAAATATAATTAAAAAACAAAAAGTTGTGTTTAAAGTACTTTAAATAATAAAGTAATTCAAAAAAATAAATAATAATTCCATTTTTTTAATAAGACGAGTAGTCAAACAGTGCAAACAAAAACTCAAAATCCCTTATATTATGGGACGGAGGGAGTAAATTGTAGATGATGCTGTATGTTTGCATGAGTTTAAATATATAATTATTACTAGTAGGTAATGATGTGGCATGGTTATATTTTGAGCTTTAGATTTGGTGGACTATAACTTTATATAAAGTATATATTAAAGCCCTGACTTAACAAATGCTAAGAAGTGAAAATAGTACATTTTAATTTGGAGTACTATGTATATTCATCGAAGTTACACAATAAACTAGATGGACTCATTTTTTTCATTTAACAACAAAAAAAATTGTATCCTGGTGTAGTGATTTGTTTTATATTAAACGTAAAAAAAATTGTATACCTTCACATCGTTGCTATAAGCTATAGTTCTTTGAGGTGGCCATGATTACCATTGAACATTTATCGGAGCTAAAGAAAATAAGCTCGTTCTAGGATTAGGTAAAGGATAATAGAATGTTATTATGATTCGTTTCGATGTGCATGAAAACACGCTGATTTTACTCTGTACATGCATGTTATACGTGGCTAGGGGACTGTCAGGACGACTGAGAGACAGCAAACAGAATCCAAACATGTGACTTCGCTTGAGTAAGGAAGTAAGGGGTTAAGCTTAATTACTCTGCAAGTTAACGTGCGTAAGTTGTAACCAATTATTCCGCACGTTGCCCATGGTTTCTTGTTACTACTATAGCTAGCTAGCTTTCTTTGATGAGTGCATATGCCTAGTTTGTCTCATCATGTGGCAAACTCAATCAACGACAGGCATGCATGCTCCATTGCTTGTTCTTCCAGCCAGGATTAGAAGGACAAGGACTACTACAACAAATTAATTTAGATTACTTAACCTTCAATTTATCACCAAAGTCTGCAAGTATGCATTTGAATTGTATACATACAAAATCTCTTGTGCTCTTCAAGTAATTACATGATTCAACTATGTGTTGTTCTTTTTTAGTTCATATACAATATATTGTCATCAATTATCACATCCACACATCATTGCAAATTCTGACAGAAAACACAAGTGCAATCAAGCAGGTCCCCAACAACGAGCGGACATCATTAAGCATAGTACAAGAAGATCTGCTAGATAAACACTGAAAAATCAGGTTTGAGTACACACCAAATCAACCAGTAGACTTTTATTTTGTTTTATGTGTAATCTGTCCTGCTTACTTGTGTTCTAATTTCTATATATATGTATATATCGAGGGAAACAGCTGTGTAATTGCACATCATCATGCCACCAGTTTGAGTACAAATAAATTAGACCTGTCATCATAATGGCATATTTACATTAATTAATTAGTTAGTGTAAGAGACAGCCATAAGCTAACTTTTGTGGATTATGACAGTACTCCCTCAATTCTAAATTGGTCTACATATTTCATATATACACTAAGATCAAGAAAAGCTAATAACTCTCTCATACTATATTTACTCTAACAACAAACTCGATGCATGCACCATCCATACTATTTTCTAGCCAATAGCAAATCAAGATATTACATGTGTGTTATAAATATTTATGTGCATGAATGTATGCATCAATATCCATTTACTTCAATACACAAATAACGAATAGACTTAATGAATGAACAAATATGTAGATCGATTTGGAATGGAGGAAGTACTTTTTAATCACAAGAATACTCCCTTAAACCGTTGGGCGCGGCAACCAAAAATACACGTTGTGCACCAATGTCAACCAGAGTTTCATACGACGTACTAGGAATTAATAGCCTAAACTTTTTAATTCCTCTTTTTTTCAGGGCAAAGTGATAGCGTATGTAAATTCAGGAAAGGGATCGGACAACGCTTTGTGACAGGAATCAGAAGTTTCAGAACAATCAATCCGTCCTCGGATCCATCCAGCAGGAGAAACAGGTACTGTATGCCTGAACAATCATAACTTGTTAATGTGTCACATTCTAGTACCAGTTCAGTTTTGTAGGATGGAGAGAGTATATTCTGAATGATCTGATGACTAACCTAAGAACACAATATTAAGGAAATCTAGTAGCCAGTATGAACACCCAATGTGTGCTGTCATGCGTCATGCGGCGCATCATCACTTCATCAGTCAGTATTATTATTATTATTATTATTATTGGTTCAGAGTAGTGAGCTCCAGAATAATGGCAGCTGATAGGCTCATCTTCAGATAACTACATAATTAAGCAATGCTGTCTCAAGAACCGTTGACATCGCAAAACAATAATCAATGAACGATGATGACAATGATGATGCTGGCCTTGGGGGGTGATGTGAGACTCCTGAAAAGTTAAGCAATGAACTGCATGCTACTGGAGTAGTAGCTAGCCCTAGCTGGCCGATGGTGATAAACTTGATCTTGGAATATTCTGATAGGGTTGGTGCTCTGTAAAATATACTTCACTAGTCGGTGGACGAGGTATTAGCTGACTGGAGTATATGCAAATTTGCATGCCCTTGAAGAGTTGACGTAGATTTATTTCAAAAGAAAAAGGACGAAGAAGTAGTAGTAGCTTGTAAACTTGGGAAAACCCAAGGAAACGTAACGCAACGCCCTTGTTGTTTCTTCGGGACTGTTCAAATTACTACCAAAATGAACATTTTAAAATTTGGTCATACCCAAATTTTGGCAAGTTGGTAACATTGCTAAATTTTGGTAGGATATATTAAATATGTTATTGTCAAATTCTTTAAGCAG